CACAGTGGCCTTCCAATCTTGCTGCCATTTACAAGTTGTGTGGCCTTGGGCCAGGTTACCTTTCCTCGCCTCAATCTGTTCATGGTTAATATGGGAGATAAAGAATAATCAAAATGTCCTTTAACAGGTGAATAACCAACATGTGGCATGCCCATACAACGATTGTTATCAATAAAAATGAACAAGCCAATGATATATGCAACAATCTGGATGAATCTCAAATCATTGCAAGTGAACAAAGCCAGACACAAAAGCATATATATATATGATTTAATTTATATAAAATTCCAGAAAACGCAGACCACTCTATTGTGACAAAAAAACAGGTCAGTAGTTGCCCGAGGACAGGGGCAGAGGAAGGATGGACTGAAGAGTGACATGAAAGATGTTTGGGGGTAATGAAAGTGTTTTACATACTGATTGTGGAGGTGATTTCATGGGACATATTCACCTGTCAAAATTCAAACTGTGCACTTTAAATGAAGGCCCTTTATTATATGTAAATTAGACCTCAATATAGTTGATTTTAAAACACTTTCCCATAGATTTATTTTGAGAATTAATGAGAGAGAAAAATGTGAACCACTAGGCTTAGTGGCTGGTACGTGGTCAATGTCTGGTAATGAACGGTGAGGCAGTGATGCTGTGGACACCATGGCATCAGAGCAGAGTTCCCCTCTGAGCTACTTTGTATAATAATCTCTAAGCCTCAATTTCTTAACCTGTCAAATGACAGGTTAGGACAAGACAGACTACATAGCTGCTTAAAGCTACAACAATTTGATTCTAACCAATGGCAGCCAGCACAACCTTCTAATAATATGCATTTATGATGTGTGTAAACTGTAGTATTCAGAAGGCTTTGCTGTAACATTCAATAGTTACTCCTTGAAATTTGTCATTTTTCACACACTCAAAAAAATGGAGAAAGTAGGATTTCAGAAGTCCATTGAAGGGAGTTGGGAAAAGTGCAAGGAAAGGTGTGGAGAGGCCTGGAGAAGAATACCAGTTGAGTAAACCTTCTGTAGCCATGAATTTAATAAGCATCTCAGAGTTATCAGCATCATATTTTCCACATGCACTGCTCCCCAACCGCCTAACAGCTTTGTTCAGTCTGGCAGGGGCCCTGCCGCCTTGAGTCCTTTGGCACATCCTCCTGGATGGTGCCCCTGCTCCCCTAAGCAACCAACGGCAACAGCAACAGGCAAGTTGTGAGGACAGGCAGGGCAAAAGTGTGGCCAGCAGCCACCAATCACCAAGCCACCACAGGGCCCAGCCACCACAGGGCCCAGTTAACACTGCAGAGGACATCCTAGGTACAGATCTGAGAAAACAGATTTTGGGAACAGAAAGGCAGAACTTATTGGGAATGATTAGTGGGTGGAGAAGCGACGATGAGTTTAGTGAGTAGAGCTAAGGAGAAATATCTGGCAAAAAGAAATGAGCTTGTCACTAAGAAATCACAGGATAGCAAAGAAAAATGCTGAAGAACGATAAGAGATGCTCATATGCTCTTAACAAGTCTGAGAGGGTAGACTGATTCCTGACCTCCAGTGACTGCCTTAAACCCCTTTGGAATGAGATGAGACAGAACTTCCCACACAATCCTTTCCTCTCCAGTCCTGAGTCCTTGCTTTAGAGGTGTCACACCAGGGCTGTCAAACTTCAGTCTGCAAAGCAATCATTCAGGGAGCTTATTGAGATTCATGCACCCCGGGCCCCAACTTGGTGAGTGGCCTGGGAATCTGCTGTTAAACATTATCCCAGAATATTTCACAAATGTCCTATATAACCCTTGCCCCGATCCTGTGAGTAGCTCTAAAACACAGGTAATCATCCAAGTTTTACTGATTTATTTCTTTCCTTCACTTTGTCGTCGCAGGCAAAGGTTAGTGCGTACAAGGCTGTGGGACTCCTCTTCTAGTCTTGAGAGAGTAACTGGTAGTAGATTTGCTTTCCTACTAGAAACAATTAGAAAACTGGAAAAATATAAGGCACGACTGTTTTCAGACAGTGGGCAAGGTAGAACAGGACTGTGATCCCGAGAGAAGGGAGCCCTGCAGTCACCCTGGCTTTCTGCCTAGAGGCACTGCCGGGATGCTGGCACAGCGAAGTGGAACCCCCCATGGAGCATGGAGGGCTTGCTGAGTTGAGGAGACAGAGGTCAAAGTTTAGGGGGCTAAGGTGGCTGGAATTTGAGAAGCAGGATGTGAGAGAGGGGAGCTATGCAGGAAAAGAGATCCACAAATCTAGATGGACTGCGTGCTAAGCTGTGCATGCACAGGGTCAACCTCCACAAGGCTGGGCCGAGAATTACGACCAGCAAGGAATGAGCTAGCGATCCCCACAGCTGACAGAACTGCCAGGGAATAGCGCTGCCCAGGCCGGGGGAGAGCCCCGTGGAACAACCCGGCACGCAGCAGAGACACTGAGTGTCTTACTGTTCAGGGCGAACTCCAGACTTGCGTGGATAAAGGTTAAAAACAATTCTCAAAATGATCAAGTTGATCAACAAATACAATAACTGCCTACCAAAACAATATGTTTTTTAAAGGAAGACAACTAGATCTAGACACTCAAGCTAGTAACATTCATAATGGCCAGCAGCCAACTGACAAGCTACGAATCAAGCAGAAAAATATGACTTGTAACCAAAAGAAAAATAAGTCAATAGAAACAGACTCAGAACAGATAGAGATGATAGAATTAGCAGAAAAGGACTTCAAAGCATTTACTAGAAAGGTTACTATCAAGGAAAAAGAAAAACATGAATAATATAAGGAGATAAATGGAAGATATATCTGAAGAGAGAGAGAGAGAGAGAGAGAGAGAGAGAGAGAGAGAGAGAGAGAGAGAAGCTTCTAGAGCAGAAAAATACAATGTCTGAAACAACAAATTCACTGGATGGGCTTATCAGCAGACTACACATTACAGAAGAAAAGATCAGCTACACAGCAACAGAAAACTATCCAAACTGAAGCAAAGTTTAAAATAGTTTAGGAAAAAAACAAAAAAAAACAGAGCCGCAATGACCTGTGTGGCAACTTCAACTGATACAACCCACATACACGTAACTGGAGTCCCAGGAGTGAGAGGGGAAAAAATATACTCAGGGAAATAATGGCTAAAATTCTCTGAATCTGATGAAAACAATAAATCGACAGACTCAAGAGGTTCAAGCAGATAAGCACAAAGTAAGCCGCACCAAGGCATATCCTAACCAAACTGCTGAAAAGAAAAGATAAAAATAAATAAACCTTAAAAGCAGCCAGAGAAGAAAAAGACACTGCATGCCGGGGGACAAAGATGAGCAGCACCACAGCCTTCTCCTCAGAAACAATGCAAACCAGAAAACACGTAACGTTAGTGCTAAAAGGGGGAAGAAGTGGTCAGCCTAGAATTCTGTATCAGGTGAAAAGACGTTTTCAGACAAGCAAGGCTGAGAGAATTTGTTGCCAGAGGACCTGCTCTACAAAAAATGTTACATGAAGTTTTTCGGGCACAAGGAAAATAATACCAGATGGAAACTGAGTTCTACACAAAGGAATAGAGTGTGGAAATGGTAAATATGTGGGTTTTTTAAAAAAGGCTTTGATTTAGCCCCAGATATAATCTCTTCTCTAGTAAGTTTCTTGTAAAAAGCACACACAAACGTTATCGTTTCTCGAGTTTGAACACGGGTCTTAGCTGTGCCACGGCTACTGGCCTACTCAGTGCTGTTTCTCCTTTGCTGGCCATGCCAGCCATACACAGACTACTCCGCACTGTGCACTGAGGATGCAAAGACAAGTAAGACGTGGTGTCTGCTGTCAAGGAATTTAGAGCCTGGAGGGAAGAACATTCAAGCCAACAAAGAGCTAAGTGTGAAGAATGAGGTTCACTTAGCTCTGCGACTATGGGCAGCTTACTTAACCTCTCTGTCCTTTAGTTCCCTCAACTATACAATGGGAATAATGACATTACTATCTCATAGGGTTGCTGTGGAGATTAAATGCTTTAACATCTATAAACTGGTAGACCAGAGCCTGACGTATAATTAACACCTAACAAACATTAGCCATTGCTGCTGCTGTTCCCATGTTGCCCAGGAGGTTGTAGGAGCACAGAGAAAGATCAACCAATGAACTTGTATGTGTACATGGGTAACCTAGGAATACGGACAATAGGGTGGTGAAGGCCTGGGGTGGGGGCGGGGGCAGGCTGGGAGAGGTCAATGGGGGAAGAAGGAGACACAGGTAATACTGTCAACAATAAAGATTCTACAAGAAAGAACGTTTACAACTCAGTAATGAAAAGACAAGTAACTCTTTTTTAAATGAAAAAGAGGGAATGGATGGGAAGGGAAGGCATGGCAGAGGAGGTGATGCTTCAGCTGATTTTTGAAGGACAAGGAGGGCTGGTAGATAAAGAAGGGGTGAGCCCTAGCTGGTTTGGCTCAGTGGATAGAGCGTCAGCCTGTGGACTGAAGGGTCCTGGGTTCAAGTCTGGCCAAGGGCACATGCCTGGGTTGCGGGCTGGATCCCCAGTGGGGAGCATGCAGGAGGCAACCGATCAATGATTCTCTCTCATCATTGATGTTTCTATCTCTCTCTCCCTCTCCTTTCCTCTCTGGAATCAGTAAAAAATATATATTAAAAAAAAAAAGAAGAGGGTGAGGTCCTCAGGGCAGAGGCAGTAGCACTTAGAGCAGCCGTGGGCAAACTACGGCCAGCGGGCCGGATCCGGCCAGTTTGAAATGAATAAAACTAAAAAAAAAAAAAAGACCGTACCCTTTTATGTAATGATGTTTACTTTGAATTTATATTAGTTCACACAAACACTCCATCCATGCTTTTGTTCCGGCCCTCCGGTCCAGTTTAAGAACCCATTGTGGCCCTCGAGTCAAAAAGTTTGCCCACCCCTGACTTAGAGCAATGGGTGCCTGAGCTGCAGTGCAGGACATGCCTCGGAGCTCTGGGACATCTCCAAAGCCCTTCAGACTTCCTTCAAGAACATCTTACCTCCTCCGTCATCTGATCCATCCAGGCTCTTCGGTCTGAGGCGATGACTGCGCCCAAAAAGGAAGGAAAGTAGAAAATGAGTTTCAGGCACAGAAAGAAACAACCCCAATTTGTATTGTATCCATTCTTACTCCTAGATGAAAAGGTCTCTGGATCCACTCTCCTCCAACTTGCTCAAACCTAACTGGGCACCTGGGTCTGCCATGTATGGCTGCCCAAGCTGGTACTGCATCATTGCATGGGGTAGCGTCACACAGACTATGATATGAATGCTCTCCTGCCTCTGAGGTGGGAAATTTGTTGGCCTTGACTTTACACTCCATCTTCACCAGGACCCTTTTAAAAAATATAAGTCTTAGGAGAAGGTGAGGCTTATAAGCTGGCACTGCCTCTGCCCATCTGTATCAATACAGCAGAACCCATGGGTCAGTACTCTGATACCTAGACATGTAATTCTAAAAACCACAGGGTGGGAGGTGTGACAGGCTACCAATGCCAAAGCCCAGGCCTTCAGTGGAAGATGCTGCATTAATTAAACCCTCAACTCAGGAAGCATATCTCCAGCCCAGACCACAGCCAGATTCACACAGCCTATTTTTTTGAATGCTGCTCAACAAAGACTGCACTGTCGACAAAGATCCCCATAGGATGCCATAAGAAGACTGCAAACATACTCTTCCACTTCTTCAAAAGCCTTCCTTCCTGACCTGGAAAAAAGAAAGAGAAGGGTTATGAGAACCCGCTAGTCTCATGCACTGGCCGGGTATGTTGGACACGGGGTTTAAAAAGTGGGTGCAAATGGGCATATATCCCAGCTGCTTTATTTGTCTGGATTCCTCTTCACAGACCAAGGCTCATACTCAGCATGACCCTGCAATGCCTTCTTATAACCTTACTTCAGCATGTCTCCAAACTAAATGACTGAGTTTAAATGTAGGCTGAGTGAGCTCAAAGGTCAAATGAATATAGATGATATGACGTCCTCCTTTCTTTCAACAAGTACTGACCAATTTATTGAGCACTTTTCAGGACTGAGGCCGTGGGTCCCAGTTGGAGCTGTTGTGTTAACATGTGCAGCTTCCCACGAGCGGAAAGGGATGAGCCAGCCATGCAGGGAGGCTGCAGGCTCAGGGCCCGTCTTTCTGTATCCGCCACGTGAAGGACCAGAAGCCCCGTGAGTGATGCCGGCGAGTAGTGCCCTCAGATATTCCGTGGGCGCAGGAAGCCTGTCACACTTGTCTAAGGCCCTGGTTCTCAAACTTGACTGTGCATGAGAACCACCCGGAAGCTTGACAGACATGCTGACGGCTGGACGTGCTGGGCCTGGCAGCAGAGATGTCTAGATCAGCTCGTCTGGCAGGTAGGCAGCCCAGGAATATGCATCTTAAACAAATTTCCAGAATTCTAACCCAAGTAGGATACTACTGACACGCTGAGAAACACCAATCTTAAGTCTTCGGAATGAGACTGGCAAATGTTGACTATTGTTAAAGTCGGGTGATGGGTAAATGTGGTGATTACTTTTCTGTATGCCTGAACATCACAATGATGGAGTTTTCATTTTTTATGACTTTAAAAAATATATATATTTTATTGATTTTTTTACAGAGAGGAAGGGAGAGGGATAGAGAGTCAGAAACATCGATGAGAAAGAAACATCGATCAGCTGCCTCCTGCACACCCCCCACTGGGGATGTGCCTGCAACCAAGGTACATGCCCTTGACCGGAATCGAACCCGAGACCCTTGAGTCTACAGGCTGACGCTCTATCCACTGAGACAAACCGGCCAGGGCTATGACTTCTTTTAAGTTAGAAATCATCGCCATGATGGCAGGGGTAAAGGGCAGTGGCAATGACATAATGGCCAGGAGGCAAGATGCACGAGATGGCCCTTGACAGCGCTGGCCCGCAAAGCCTCACCAGTAAGAGCTATGTTGGAACCAAACAGCAATTCCTGCAAAATGCAAATAATTTTCCCCAACAGTATAATTATAAATTAAGCCCAAGTTTAAATAGATCCGTTTCCATGAAATTTAGGCCATACCAACTGCACTGTGAAGGGAGACGGAAGGAAGGGAATGAATTCTGGCTGAAGTCAGGGAAGGAGAAGAGGATAGGTAGGTCGGGTTGGATGAACAGGATGAAATAACTCTGAAGGGATCTCCCAGACTATGTTTTTTTACTCTTAAACTCTATGTTTTTTGAGGAACCAGGGGCAGGACTAGTGGGACAGAAAGGGCAGTAAGAGGCCCAAGGTAGACTGCAAAGGGATGTCCAGGGCAGCGCCACCATGGAGCTGCTGGTGATGGAGGCTTCCAATGCTGTTCTAAGTAAAAAGAATCCTAACGTAGAGCCCGAGGCAGCCGCCAAAGCTGCCTCTAAGTGGAGGAGAGAAGGCTCTGCTCCCAACTCACTACCTCTAATTGTCACGGTGAAGCTGAACTCTATAAACCCACTGTCCAAATGGCTTGATATGCTACCAACAGGAGAAGGGCTTGAATGAAAACAGGATCAGAGAATAAGGAGACTAAAAAGGCCAGGTAGCCTAGGCCAGCAATGCCTTTGTTTGTACATAAGAGACATGTCCATCTCTGGTTACCCTTAGGAATTATGACTGCATTGGTCCTTCCTAAGCAATGGGAGGTGGCAAAAGTAGCAGTGATTTTGTCTGAAGGAGACAATAATGATAACGCTAATCTTTGGGGGAAGGCTGATTAACTGCCATTTAGCCACTCAACACCCCAAAAGGGGATGAATTTCATATGTGGCTTAATTGCTGCTGAGTCCACATCTTGCTCTCTCTCACTCTAGGGCAGCCATGGGCAAACTAAAAAAAAAAAAAAACCGTACCCTTTTATGTAATGATGTTTACTTTGAATTTATATTAGTTCACACAAACACTCCATCCATGCTTTTGTTCCGGCCCTCCGGTCCAGTTTAAGAACCCATTGTGGCCCTCAAGTCAAAAAGTTTGCTCACCCCTGCTCTAGGGGGAGCCAAGAATCCTTCGGCATCTCATTTCACCCCATGGGATGGAGCAAGATCAAAATGGAGCCTTCAAGGATGGTCAGCTGGGATGACCTCAGGTGGTGTTTTCTCATGTCCCCTGCACCCTCCTCCCTCCCCCCGAACTATAGCTTCAGTGTGAACCTTCTGCTCTGCTATGATGGAAATGGTACAGAACACTCTGCCTTTGATGAAGTTGGCTACTTCCAGGCCTTATCTAGCTTGCAGATAAGTTTGGTCTGGACCACACTGCTCTTTATTTTTATTTTGTTTTGTTTTATTACGTTTTAACATCAATTTCTTGTCCAAATTGGGAGATTTTGTACAAAAATCCGAATTTCTAAATTCTTCAAATACAAAGCCTGGCAACACTGGACCTACATTCCAGTGTTTTCCACAGGAACCTACATCCAAGTGTGGCTGCCCCTGAGCTCCCAGCACTCCCTAACCCGGGTCAGTACTGATTCTTCATCATCCAATCTGCACTGCTAGGGCTCTTACAGAATGAAGAGGCCAGGGAAGTATGCAGCTATGCAGCTATCAAACACGGGAAAGCAAAGGAAGACTAAGTGGGAAGCATATTTTAGGAGACTTGGCAGAGAATAAATATCTTCACAGAAGTATGAATATACAAATAACTGGTATATGCACCTCAGTAATATAACTTAGGTGCTTTTCTGAAATAAATCCACACTTCACAAATTTGTTTTACCTACCTGGTCCCCAAAGGCACGGAGTCCAGTGCTAGGACACAGAATCTAGCACAATGATTTTCAAACTACAGGTCATGGCCTGTTAGTGACTCATGAAATCAAGTTAGTAAATCACCACTGGTCTCTTTTTAATAGCAGAGAGGATAAAAGAAAGTGAACTGCTCACAATAAGGATAGGTATTACATAAAATTTTTTTTTCAATTTTATATACTCACACACCCAGTCATGATGGAGAGTGTATTTTTAAATGGTGGTGACAGGTTAAACGAAATGAAAACAGAGTTGGTCTACCACCGCCCACCAGAGGATTTGGGGCTGAAGTCCTGCCTCCCACAGACTGTGGAGGCTGAGGGAGAGAATTGTAGGTCCTGGGTCCTCTCTTCCTTACAGACATACTTCTGAGGAAACTGTGACCCGGTCTAGCCCCATGGAGGGGACATGCCTCTTTCCCCAGAAGTGGCTACGAGAGGGTTTGGGAGCATGACAATTACAATGATACAGTGAGACTGTCTTACACAGAGAGAGCACTTCGCAATACTCTACAAAGACTCGCTCAGCTGAGCGCTGGAAAGAGGTAGAGCAGGTTTCAGCAGCACCGTTACTGACGCTGGGCACTGTGTTGCGCACTTCACCCAAACCACAGCGCCAGTGAGTGAGGAGGCTGAGACCAGAATCCCTGTCTCCCGACGTCCACCCTAGCTTCCAAACACACTGCCTGAGCCTTCTCAACAGCAGACACGGCTGATTTTCAGATGCCCCACAGGGCACCCCGACAGCTGTTTGGATTTACTGTGCAGACATTCCATTCCTGACTTCCCACACTTAGAGAAATAAAAGCTGGAGAGAATCCTTTAAACCAGGAGCTCTTAACCAGGGAGGCACAAGAGAATCACACTCGGGAAGTTTCTTCAGTGTCCATGTGCTGGGCCTCACCCCAGGCCTCTGGGGGAGGAATTTCTAGAAATGGGACCCGGCCACGTGTGTGAGAATCACTGCCCTAAGCCTTACTTCAGATGGCTGGCTGACCTCTCCAGTTGCTAAGCAGCAAGATGGAAACCTCCTGCCTTATCCTTCCGCGTTGCCTGCTCTCTTCTAAAAAGTATTGGTGAACTCTGCCTTGACCTCCAGGTGGAGGGGAGCAAGGAGACGGCTTCACATGCTAAAGCCCCATCCTGACTGATCCTGAGTTGATTATCTTGAAATTCAGACAAGACTCCATCGTGTTCATAAAAGCTGGGCAGGTGCTCCCCACCCTGGTAGGTCCGGAGCAATTCAGATCCGATTAGAGATGCTTGTTCAATATTCAAAATGTAAAACATAGAGGTTGCTGAACCAGCACTTTGAAAAGTTAATTAAATGCCAGGTTTCTTTTTAAGAGCTACTCCATCACTTGCTGATTGCTTTGGCCATTTTGCAGAATGAAGCCTTCACTCTGGACAATGAGAGTAAATGTTCTCCCTCACCTCCCACCTTATAGAGACAGGGCACTCTGGCTTCCTGCTTTCCAGGGATGACGCAGCGGCCTGGCCCTGGCCGTGGCCCTGGCCGGTGACTTGCAGGAGGGGAAACGGGGCTGTCCCTCTGGCCCTTTCCCAGTCACTAAAAGCACTCAGCCACCCGGAAGCTGCCAGCTCCCCGCACGTCAGGTTTTCGGGTGGAAGACTTCAAGGTTAAGGGTGTGGTCTCGTCATCTCCACCTCCATTTAAAGCCCAGTCCTTCAGCTCAGCACTCACCCCGTCCCCTTCTGGTTTTCACCCCCACTTCTCTATGACCCACAAGAGGTCTAGCCTCCCGGCTTCACAAGGCACCTCAATACGCAGGAAAGACATCTCCAGGCCCCAGCCCCCACAAGCCTATTACAGGAAGGCTGATGACATGACAACAGTAACATTTATTAAACTTATTGTGTGCCCAGCACTGTCATTATATTTTCTTATTTATATATTACACATATTATACATGGTATTATACGTGATTTCATTATC